GATTTGCAGGAATAGGGGGGTTGTCTCATCCAGCGCAGCATCAACCCTATTGGCCAGGGCAATAAGAGACGCATTGGGTCCCGGGCTTAGATGTGCCCGTGTCACAACATCACTTGTTCAGCCTTGCACTGCAGTGACTCACCTGATGAGGACAGGTTGCAGCAGAGGGGTTGGAGGCTCTGAAGCACCTCCTGATTTCTGCAGACCATTCGCAATGGTGACAAAGATGTCACCACGCTGCTTGGTGGACCACAGTGGTGGCTTGATGACCTAGAGCAGGACAGTATCCATCTCATGAAGATGAGTGGGATGAGATGAAGGACTTGAAGATGGTGCTGGGAAGGTGTTGACCCATCTTGGTCCCATCTGCAGTCAGAGATGGGCAGCAAAGCCCTGGGGTCTGTGTGTCTGTATGTGTGGGTCTGAGCAGGGATGTGCTGGAAGGGACCTCACACACCACCCAGGGAGCTTCTTGGCTTGGTCTCATGATGCTGCTGCTTGGTGCAGATTCAGACTTGCCTGGCAGGGCTCCCAATGGCAGCATATACTGTGCCTCTGGCTGGGCCTTTCCCTTCTTTCCTTCCTGCTTTTCCGTGCCTTCCGTGTCCCCGAGCTGCTGCAAATCTGGGCACTGGTAATGTGGCATCCGCTGGCTCAATCAGAGGTGGATCATCTTGGGTAATGGCTGGGCTGGTGGGGAGGTAGATCTTGCTTTCTGTTGGTTGCCCTTCCTCAGGTGATGCCACAAGAGGGGCACAGGCAATCCCTTGGTGGCTTTTGGAGCTGGTCCTTCATTCAGATGCTGCTTGGTGAGGGAAAACAGCATCCCCAGAAGGATGCCGTTTACCTTCCTAAATCCTGGCCTCAGCTTCCAAGCCCGGCCTGTGTTTGGTGACCATGGGAGTACAAAGGGGCTTGCAGACTTGTGTGCACTGCCATGGACTTTACAAGCTCCTTCTACCTCTTTACTGAGTGCTGCATTCCTGGGAGATGAGGTCAGAACTGCTTCCCTGCACAGGCAGAAGCAGGGGATGGCTGGAGGGTCAATAGCTTGACACTGGGATGTGCTGAGGGGGTTGAGGATGGGGTCTGGGGTCCATCTGATTTGGATGCTCTGCTGGGGCTGGTGGGCCCATCCTTCCTCCACTGGGGAGCAGGGTGGTGGTCGTGGCACTCTGATGAGGACCAAATGTTGGGGTGAGAGGAGAACCTGCTGTCGAGTTGCATTTTGCCCCTGCGGGAAGGGAGGTGAAGATCCCAGGTTTCACGTCCTGACCTGGAGAGAGTCCCTGGAGTGGACACAGAACTTGGCTGGGGACATGATACCCAGTGGAACATCGGATCAAGGGGTAGTAGGGCCGTGGTGGTGAGTGCCATTTGTCTGTCGAGAGGCAGGGCTGCCTGCAGGGCCACAATCCTGGTTCAGGGAATCTCTTTGAAGCTGATGTGCTGTATCCATCATGGTCCCGGGCAAACACCAGCTGTACAAACAGCAGCCCGGAGCAGAGCTGCTGGCTCAGCCATCCATCTCCTACCCATCCCCTCAGAGCCCCTGGGCAGCCCTGGGGGTGCTGGTCATGTCCCTGTGCAGCGGGATGAGGTGTCCCCAGGTCCTGGGCTGGCTCCTGAGGCTTGGAGGTGGCTGCTCTGAGCATCGCTGCCTGGCACCTGGGGGCATCTTTGGGCACTGCCTTTCCCATAGCGATGGTAGATGGGCATGTTGCAGCTTGTGCAGCGTAGCTCTGGGACAGAGCAGAGGGTGTGGGGCTGTCTGAGCCAAAGTCATCAAAGAAGAGTGGGGAAAAAGAGACACGAGAGCTTGTTGGCTCTGGCACCGCAACAAAGCCTCCTTCCTTCTCACTGCTGCAAAGGGATGGGGCTGAGCTTTCCTCCTGGGGCTGGGGGGTGTCGTGGCACAGAGGGACATTGGGGACATGGGTCATGGCTGTGAGATCTCATCCTCCCTTTGCCAGCCTGTGCTGCCGAGCCCAGCGCTTGACCCTTGTGCTGGTTTCTGAGTCGCTGGCGTAAAAGCCGTTCCACAACCCAAACAAAGGCTCCAAGTCTATCAGCATCCCGCGGTGGGCAGGGAGCGGCCGGGACCATGAGGTGTGCCCAGAGCACTCGGGGAAGGGGGGTTCATCCTTTCTCCCTCCCTCTGAGTCCAGATAAAAGCTGGATCCTTGGAGGCACGGCTGGATTTGGAAGGCTCCCAACCCCTGTTCCCTCCCTGGCTGCGGGAGTGACCTGAGGAGATAAAGCCTCTTGGCTCAGCACCGCAAACCCTTCATTTCCAAGAACCCAGGAGGACTCACCTTGCCTCCAGTTGCCTCTCCCCATCTCTCTCCAGCCTGAAGAGGGAGGAAGGAGACGGCCATGGCAGCCAACAGCTCCGGCGGGATGCCGGATGCTCCTCTGGACAGCAGCTTTGCCAGCACTGATGACCTTGTTTCTGACTGGTACATCTATGAAACCATGGAGCCAGCCGTGCCACAGGATGAGTAAGTGTCCAGCCCTGCTGGTGGGGACCACACGTTCCCTGTCCCTGCTGGGTCACCCTGGGCAGCAGCCAGCCTCCTGCCCAGCTGCCACATTCCCTTTCTGTGGAGTAACGTCCCCTGAGCAGCAGTCCCAGCTTTTATGCCTGGGTGAGCGGGAGGTGATTGAAAAGGCTTGTTTTGGCCACCTAAAACTGCTTCATTCCTTTATGGGTGCTTCTGGCTGGTGCTTGCCCCAGGGATGGGACCCCAGGGCCCAACCTCACAGCAAGGACATGGCACTTCATGCCCTCATAGCTGAGAGCCCTTAGCAAGGATAAAGGAAGTGCTATAGGGAGGGGAAACTGAGGCATGGAGCAGCAGGGTGATCTATCCAGTGTGAAGCTGGGCATCCCAAGGGGTATCTATCAGCACCTATTGTCCCTCTGTTGACTTAATCCTCTGTGAGTGAGTTTTATACCACTCAGTTGACTGATACCCAACCCATAGGGCCAGCAGGAGGAGATCCCAGCGGTGACCAGCTCGTAGGGTTCCTCCTCACCCTTAATCTTCTACATTGTGGAACAGCTAATGTCAGCTGGCCCTATACAGCCTTTTCTGGCAGGATGGGGACAGCCTTGGATATAGGATGCCTGAGAAATCCTCCTTCCACTATCAGACCCTTCCCTGCCGCCTTGCTCCCGTCTCTACCCACCCCATGGGCATAAGGGCTCATGTGGGCTCCCCCACTGTGTGCTCTGGGGCTCAGGATGTCCAGCTCCCTGGCACAGGGACTTGCAGACAGCACTGGGTGACGCACAGTCCCTCCTGGCCTTGGGAGAGCAGGAGGGCTGTGGCACAGCAGAGATTAAGGGATGTCGTGGAGGCCAGGGAGGGAATAAATAAAGCAAGGCCTGGCACATCTGCTTGGCCTTGGCTGGCTGGGGATGCGGTGCTGGGCCCCCATCCTGCACCACCAACCCCAGGCATCCATCACCTCTGCTGTCCCACAGCTCTAGGTCTGGTCCCTATCCCATGGGAAAGGCATTGAAGCACCCTACAAGGGGTCTTCAGCCTTCCAGCTGGCATTTAATAAGCTCAGTGCTGTAGTTAGCAGGGAGAACTGCTCTGTGCAGGCTGCCTCTCTTGGAAAGGCAGAGCTAGGATGGGTATTAGCACAAAAGAGGTAAATAGGGCTTCATCTCCTGTTGGATCTCAGTATCCCTGATTCGGTATCCCTGATTCTCAGTATCTCTGTTGCTGATCTCCTGTTGGGCCTCGGTATCCCTGTATGTGGAAGGAGGTCACCCAGATCCTGTGGGGATCAGCTTGGGGCTGCTCCTGAGTGTCATCTCTATTGCTTGCTTGATCACAAGTCATCTTGCGAGGGTGACTTCAGCCCTGGTTGTGTAACCCAGCTCTTTGGAGGTTTACCCCTTCTCGCCATCAGACAGAAATCCCTGCTGTGTCGTTGCTTTGCCCTTTTGGGACTAAATACAACAACATGAGCTTCTTTTTTTCCCCTTTGTAGCATGTTTCCCAGCATAATCCCAGACTGTGACCCCACCATTTCTCCCAGGCTGTATCACATCTGCATGGCGCCCATCTCCGTAAGTACCTGCCACGTCCCATGGGGCTGGTTATCTGCCCTGATGTTGTATTTGCTACCCCCTAGCTTGGGTCATGCCCATCTACTTCCAGATAGCAGGCCTGGGCTCTTCAGCTTGAGCTGGAGCGAGGTTTGAGCTAGGATGCTCTAACACAGGACTCAAACATCCCCAGACTGTAGTCAATAGAAAGCTTTGATTTATTTCTATAACATGGTCCCTCTGAGGTGTTTAGAGCCTGTAACTCGTCAGAGCAGGCTGAGAAGCTTCTGCCTGGCTTCAACCACGGCTGGATTGACGTTGTTGAGTGGAGGTGGTGTCTCCCTGGAGGCTCCCATCACATTGCAGCTTGTCCAAATGCCCCCCAGATACCACCCCTTATATTTATTGTTCCCTCGGTTGGGTTTCTGGCAGCTGGCCGTGCTCCTGGGCTTGTCCTTCCTGGTGAAGCGCAGGCGTCTCCACTGGAGCTGCTGGAATGGTGTCCCAGGACTGCTCAGGTACCTGGTCAGTGGGGTCCCCATCACCCTGCAGCCAAGTGGGCGGAGGGATGCTGAGGTGCAGCACGGGACATAAATCAGCCATGGGGCAGAGGATGGTGGGGACGGGGTGCCCATGACCTGGTGGAAAGCTTATTCCTTCCTCGCCTCGCAGCCCAGCTAACTTCCTGGAGGAGGAAGGCAACCGCGGGCTGGTGGCTGCAGTGTTTGGCATCCTGTTCTCATCCCTGTGTGTGCTGGTCTTGGACACGGACCCTCTGCCGCTCATCGCTCGCTCCTCCCAGAGCACCCGGGGTAAGGCCAGCACCCTCCTTCCCTGTGGGCATCACACTCCTCCCCACAAAGGAGGTGTGAAGCTTTGGGTGCCATCCTGAGCAGCCTGTTCACCCTGGTCCCTACTGAGAGCACTGCTTCTCTTCTTGCCTGTTTTGCTCTCCCTCCTCTCTTTCCATCGTACCATCTAGAGTACTGGAAGATCCTGGCTTTGCTCTACTACCCTGCCTTCTACTACCCCCTGATGGCCTGTGCCACTGTCCGGCACAGGGCCAGCTACCTCATGGGCTGCCTGCTCTCCTGGTGCCACTGCGTGGTCCACATCTGGCAGAAGGTGGATTGTCCCCAGTCACCAAAGGTATGGGTCCCACTGCCTGGGGAAAGAGCAGGGAGGCTGCTGTGGCCAAGGCTTTCTCATCACCTCCTTCAAGTGACATTAAGATGTCATCTGCCCAGGACTAGGCCCCCAGGCTGGGGTGGGGTGGTGCGTGACATCTCTGCTTCTCCCCAGATATACAGGTACTACTCCACACTCTCTTACATCCCCATCATCCTCTGCCTTGTGCTCTTAAGCCTTTGGTATCCAGCCCTGCTCATCAAGAGCTTCACCGGGCAGGAGGAGACCTTGGATAAGGAGGTAATGCAGATCTATGGGATGATGTGGTGGGGATGAATGGGAGAAGCCTTCGATAGACCCGCATGGTTTTGGGAGTGCTCCTGCCCCACGACCTCTCTGCCTGCCTCAGGACTGGGAGAACTGGGGTGCCCCCAGGCCATGTGGTCCCTGCTTTGCTCCAGCACTGGAAGCTGCCTCCCCTCCATCCCTCTGTTGATGGCAGAAGTGGCGGCTCTTTTTATCTCCTTGGATTTGAAGAGGGAGTGGAAAATCCATCTTTGGAGTAAACTCCTTAGTACAAGAGGCTTAAAGCATCAATACATCCCGTTCAGGCTGGGACTGGGGTCGCCTTGTTTTCCCAGCAGGCTGGATAATCCCCAGCCCTTTGGGAAATGCTGGGGCTTTGTTGGGAAGAGAGGAGGAAAAACCTATTTCAAAATAAGCAGCCAGCCCAAGTGTGGACTGAAGTGACCCCAGGCCCTTGGTGGGAGCTGGCTGATGGGAATGGGGGGTTTCCGCTGTCCTACTGGTGTGCCTGCATTTGGGCTGCTTTGCTGACAGGAACAAGGCACATTTATTTCCACCTTCTGTGATGCTGGAAGATTTGCTGCCAGCATCATTCCAACACGTTCATCATGGCTGGGAGCCCATCATGCCTGTGGGTGATGGACTTCTGCAACAGAGGGTGTTGTGGGGCATCATGCTAGAGATGTGTATGGCTGGGGTGGGAGATGGCTGCTAGGTGGGATGCAGATACTCTGGCCCCCCAGAAGGCAGAGTCACCTCTCCCTACTCACTGGGAGCACACTCCCTGTGCTCAAAGCAGGCAACTCATTGCTGCTTTCCTTAAGGTGCCAGGGAGAGGTTATTACAAGAAGTACCTAAAGACTGTCCTGTCCAAACGCCCTCAGAAGGGGAGGTAAGGATGACCCCTTCCCACAGTATTGCCCCATCAGTGAGCCACAGTGGGGGCAGAGAGGCTCTCTGCTCCAAAGGGACACACTTCTCACCCTCCTCTTCCTCCTCCAGCTCTGCAAAGCTCGAGGAGAGCCTCCTGTCAAGGGTGCAGACGTACTTACGCTCCTACATCTATGCTCCTGAGGAAGGTTGGCTGCGGCGCGGGCTCGGCACACGGCCTGCACCCCTCCCCAGGGACAGCAAATGCCTTTCCTGTCTCCTTCCCCAAAGCAGCCGTGTCCCGGCCGAGGCTGTGCACACACTGCTGTGCTCTGGGGTGGGGAGCGGGGACCCCCGCCAAGGGGGTATGGGTGGGCTCAAGCAGTAAGGTTCAGGTGGGGGTTGTGCTGATAGGGCAGCCTGGTGCTTGATAAGGATGTGATAAGGAAGTAGAATCTCCCAAAAGTGGATAAAATCCCTAAGAGGAATGGGGAAGTATTCCTTGCCCCCTTTACCCATGGAAGGAGCAGGGGCTGTCCCAGAAGGTGACACCCTGAGGGACACGGCTCCCCATGCAGCACGAACCTGGATTCTGGGACCGGGTTTCAAGGGACTGCAGAGTACAGAGACGCTGCTCCCAGCTATGTATCCTTGTAGGATTGCTTGGAGAAATCCCAATTACTACTTGACCGCCCTGTCCCAGTGCTCTCAATGGGGTGTCTGCTTTGGCTGCTGGCTTGGGTGGACCTGCAGCCTGCTCCATTCTTTCTCCGTGATCCCACATCCCACGTCCTCTCCAATACACCCCTCCAATTCTTCCTTACAGGTTTCCGGATCCCACTGAAGCTTGTCGTGTCCATAACCACGGCCATGATTGCTGTCTACCAGGTGATGCCAATGCTTAAATGCTAAGCAGAGCCCCCTCCCTGCCTTCTCAGTTGTGTTCTCTCGAGGCAGAGGAGCCCAGAGGCCATTGCCAAGCCACACTTTGGGCTATCGGAATGGTATTAGCATGCCTTGAGGTATTACCATCCCTCATGGCAACCGGCTGTGTGCTTCCAGGGCTCAGGCAGCCTTAAGTCCTTAAGCCAAGGCAATGGCTCAGCAGTGGGATGCTGTGACCCAGGGCTCACGTGGCACTGCTCCTTCACAGGTTGCCCTGTTGCTCCTGGTGGCCGTTGTCCCCACCATCCAGATCATCCGGGCAGGAATGACAAAGGACATCGTGGTGCTGTTGGTCCAGTTTGGCTTGGTGCCCTCAGAGAGCCCAGCTGCCCCAGGTGACATGGAGAAGGAGCTCAAGACTGTCAAGTACTACCTGTGGTCACTGGAAGGTGAGTTCCCAGCCAGGCCCTGCATCCAGAGGTGGTTTCTGGAGGCTTTCAGAACTCACCAGGGAGGTTTCCAGCTCAGAGCATGGTCCAGGAAGCTGGATGGTGATGAAGAGCTTCCAGGGGGAGTTAAAGCCCAGCTGCTGAAGCCGCAGCCGTGCAGACATGAAAGGCAGCTGCGGATGCCTGGCGCCAAGGCAGCGAGGCACTGCAGATGCTGCCCTTCAGCTGCAGGCTTTGAGATGTGCTGGAATAAAGCAGATGGCCCCGGATGTGGGGATGTGGGGATGGCAGGGGTGCCCCCTCCCTCCATGGTGTACCTTGGGTTACCACCAACCCAGAGGGGGGCTTTTATGTCTTTTCCCAAGCCACCAAGCCCCTCTCATCCTCTTTGTTTCTGCTGACACGTCTACCTCTCCTACCAAACCTCCTTTGTCCCTCTTGCTGTTACCCTGCAGCACCTCCTCAGCTCTCTCCATCTCACTGCCTGCTTATTACAGCTTTTCCAGCACTGAGGTAACCCAACTGCTTGTATTTCCCCTGGCTGCTTGTCTTTCCCCTTCCCTTTCACTGCCTCACCAGCTCATACCCACCTGGGAGATGGAGATCCCTGTATCACAAAGAGCAGAGGGAGGGAAACTGAGGCACGGGTACATCCATTACTCGGCCCCCTGCAATGCTCCTGAGATAGGCTTTACAATAAAATCCCATTGCTTGGATGGCCACGGCCATAGCCCATCATCTCCCTCTGCTCCTCTGCAGTGTGCTACATCTGCTCGCTAGTGCTGTGCTGCCTGCTGACCTGTGCCATGCTCCTGAGAACGCTGGTGATGCACAGGTATGGTGTCCTTGCTCCTCTTCTCCTTCCCACCAAGCCAGGATGCAGCTTGTCTGTCTCCCCAGGAACAACCTGAAGGCCCTCTACCAAGGAGCAGTGCTGGATGTCTTCTACAAAGCCCATATCCTCCGCCCATCCCGACAAGCCATCGTGTGCTGGATGAGCTTTGCCAGCTTCCAGACAGCTTTCGCCTGCCTGGGTAAAGGGTGCTGGGGCAGGATGGGGTGGGTGGATGGGGTGGTGGACCCCCACCTTGCACACCATACTCAGCGTTTAAGCATCTCTTCCCCCCTTTCTTGTCCCACTTCACAAAGGGCCAGCTGCACAGAGGCTTTTGTTCCTCTTTCCCCAAACACAATCTGTCCTCTCGCAGGAAGGACCATGCTGAACACCAAATGGTTGGGAGTTAAAAAGGGAGGGGGGCGGGGGGAATGGTGACTTGTTTTGGCACAAGCCCAGATATTTTGATTTGAGAAGCTGTCACAGCATCTCATGCAAAGGACTGTCTGTCTCCTTCGGTCCCAGTCTTCACATCCCAGATGCTCCTCGCTCTGTATCTTCCCCAGCACAGCCAGGGTACCCCTGGGGAGAGGATTGGGGTACTGGACACCCCAGGGATGAGTGAAGGACATCCAAAGGGGTAGAAATCTTCACCCCACCATGGTTTGGAGTTGTTTTAAGACCTCTCTGCCCTATGGGAGGTGATGCTAGGCAGTGATGCATGGGCAACATCCAATCATCTCAGTACCCCAAGGCCACTCTGAGGGTCAATAGGAGGGTTCAGGGGGGTGATGGAAGGACAGGGAGGACCACCAGGCCTGTTGGTGACCACCCCTTGCAAGACCAGGCCTATTTGGGAGGCAGATTGCAGAGATCAGTGTGGAGGTAGGAGCACCCCAGGAGCTCCTTGCACCCCTTTGCCAGTGAGGAGCAGCTTTCCCTTGGCCCCCCCAGTACTCAGTGCAGCGCTGGCTGCATCTGAGCGTGCCACTACTCATCTGCCTCCTGCTTAAAGGTCTTGGCTTTCAAGTCATTAAAGCAAAGCAGTGGAGGTGAAGCACAAGCTCAAGCCCAAGGAGCAGCAGCAGCTGCTGATCTGGGTGTGATTTATGGTTAGAAATCAGAGCTCAGGCTGATTTCAATGAGGCACCAGAATTGCAGCCTTGAGTGATGCCTCTTCTCATCAGGGATAATGTGGGGAGTGATAAGAAAGGCAAAATCTGTAGTTAAATCCCATGCGTTGGGAGCAGGGAAGGCAGGGAAGGATCTCACAGGCATTCTATGGGATTAAAATGACACATGCTCAGCAACGAGTTGGGGAATAAGAGCAAGAACTTCTTCCGTCTTCTGCTTCTCCATCCTCTCCCCATGTCTCCCTCCCAGGTCTCCTCATCCAGCAAGTGATCTTCTTCATCTGCTCAGTGGGTTTCACCTTCCTCTTTGTCATCCCGCTCCAGTCGGGCACAAACACTCACCTCTTCAGGATCATCCAGAACATGTGGTGGGTGCTTACAGCCCTCAGGGAGGGGTGGAAGATCCAAATGGGTGCCATGGCCATGGTGTGCTGTGAGATGCTCTGTAGAGGGGAGGCTCTATCTTGGGCTCTTTCAGCTTTGCTGGAGGTTTCTGCTGCTTGGAATGGTTCCTCATGCTTGGGGTCCTCCTCTTGTCCAACCTGCCTCTTCCTTCCCACCCAGGCCCTTCTGGTTGACCCTGGTGGTTGCCGTCGTTGTGCAGAACTTGGCAGCTCACTACCAGTTCCTGGAGCAGCATCCCCTCCGGAAGGAGCTCACCAACAGGTATGGGCATGTGGAGGTCCCCTGGGGCAGAGCTGAACCCTCCTGAGGTCCAAGACATGGGACCATGTTGGGTTTACATGTGTCCCTGGCATTGTGTTGTCCTCTGTGCCACAGGGTCAAGGGGGAAACCTGTAGGTTAGAGGGGCCTAAGTGGCTCCATGTTCCCAGAGAGGTTTCTTTAGATGCCTTAGGACCATGGTCCATTGACAGCCTTGATTTCAGTGCAGTGAAGTGGGTGAAGTCTATGCCCTGCTCCACCACCCCCATTTGCAAGCCTCAGGGGAAGCCCAGATCCCTCAGGATCAGAAGGACCAGTTCAGATGCTGCCAGCAGATGTGGTCCCTCACTCACACATGGTGTCACTGCCTAAGCTGTCTCCTTAAGCTGAAGACCAGGGTGACACCATGGATCTAGATGTCCTGCTCTGTCCAGCCAAGGGACGTCCACCACCTCCACCACTTGCCCAGCATTGCGGGGAGGCTGCTGTAGGCTATTCCAGCCTCCGCAGGAGCGAGTGTCCCTCATCCCAAACCACCAGACGTATGCTTCAGCTGCTTTCTAAGCCTTCAAGGAGAAATGGAGACCCTATGTGTGCTGGAAGCCAAGCTTCCCGAAGGTGCATCAGGCTGTCTCTTCTCCAAGAGCCTGAAAGGGTGTTTGCTTCTCTCCATGGGATGGAGACACCTCAGATGGGGCCTGTGTCTGCTGAAGAGGGAGGGATGCTTGTTTTGGCTGCTGGTTCCTCTGGCAGGGAAGGGCCGTGCTTCCCGTCCCGCGGTGTTTGTGTTCCTTACTCCTCCTCCTCCTCCACCCGCAGGCGAGCTCTGTACATAGTCACCTACCTGCTCTTCCCCATCAACGTGCTGGTGGGCATCCTGGCTGGGGTGTGGAGGATGGTCATATCCGGGCTTTATAACTCCATCCACTTCTGCCAGCTGGACATCATTAACCGTGGTGTGGAGAACTTCGACCCAGGTAGGGCATGGAGGGGGTCCCTCTGTAGCACCTCTGAACATGGGGGCTCTGTTCTCACCTCCACATTCCTGCCAATGACCTGGGGGCTCCTCCATCACCTGGAGCTGCCAGGACTGAGGGGGGCTTCAAACTACCTGTGCTCAGAGATGGGCAGGGGGTACAACTGGAGCTTCTGATGCCCACTTGGTCCTGCTTTTCTGTCCATCCCCAAGAACTGGGGGTGATGCACTTCTGGGGTCCCCTGGGTTTCAGCAGTGGCCAGACTCTGTTCCCACAGGCAGTGGACCCTCATCTCTCCTGGGCTACAGGCAGCAGGGAAGGTTCATAGAATCACAGAATGGTTTGGGCTGGAAAAGACCTTAAGATCATTCAGTTCCAACCCCCTGCCGTGGGCAGGGACACCTTCTTATCGCCTAAGGCTCTGACCAAGGCTCATCTCAATCTCCCCTCTGGCAGGTTAAAGCCATTCCCCTTGGCCTGTCCCTACAGGCCCTTGTCCAAAGCCCCTCTCCAGGTTTCTTGTAGCCTCAGCTCTGGCTGAAAGAGATAGAGCCCAGAAAATAACCCTCCCCTCTGCTCCAGAGCAGGAGGAGGGGAGAACCATGAAGTCTGGCCCCATTACTCTCCTTCACTGTGGGCCCTGTCCCCCCAGGCTACCACACTTACTGCCACTATCTGAAGATTGAAGTCAGCCAGTCTCACCCGGTGATGAAAGCCTTCTGCTTGCTGCTCCTCCAGCTGGCCAGGCCAGAGGGGCCATCGGGGCTCCGGGCCAGCAACATGGAAGAAGGTGAGACCTTCCCATCCCCATCCAGAGTGATGCATGGCCAGCACCACGGGGCAGCATCATCGGGGTCTCCTCTATGGGTTTGCTGCTCCTCTAGAGATGCTGCTGGTGCCTGGGGGTAAAGGGACCATTGGGGTTGTGGCTGTCACATGTGATCATCTCCATCCGAGGAGCTGCTCCTGTCCCTCTGATGTGCAAGGGCATGACAGGGCTCCTGTGGGTGTAGATGGCATTGGGCAGCCTCAGTGAGGGGGAGCTGGGGCTGAAGTCGTTCCTCCTCCTCCCATCTCCTTGCAGGCATCCAGCTGATGCAGCACAAGAAGGCGCCTCCGAGCAGAGCCCGGTTCAAGCAGAGCAGAGCCCGCTGGTGGTTGGCTTATACCCTCCTCAACAACCCCTCGCTGACTGCCTGCAGGAAAACTGCCCTCTGTGACCCCACAGCCAACGGCACCCAGCTCAGCACCCCCGAGCCTTGACCTCCAGAGACACCCCCCACCACCACCTCCCATGCACACTCCATCCCATCCCTGCCTCCCATTGACTCTCCTCCTGTGCTGGCGGGAGCTTTGGGCACCTCCTGCCCCTGCCCAGCAGTGGTGGGAGCTGGTTTTTAGCTCTAGGTCCATGCTGAGCCACTACCACGGTGCAGAGGTGAGGACAAATGGGTCACCTCCAAGCCTGACCTGGATGGACAAAGGTTGAGGAGCCAAGCTGAACCCTTCAGGCACCTCAAACGTCTGAGCAGCCACTCCTGCAATGAGCCCACAGGGGTGTGCTTGATCCTCAGCCAGGCTGAGCATGAGGAACTACCCACATCTCAGTGTGGTGTCCCCACAGAGAAGGTCTCTACTGCCAACCCCATCTCCAGCTTCTGCCTTTCATTTCTGATCCTGGCTCCCCTTGGACACATTACTTGACCCTGGCACTCCTTTCCCCCCAGTTTTGTGAAGGCTGAAACCCCATCTGCTCCTGCTCTGGGCTGTGAGGTTGCAGAGCCATTTGGGTTTTGCTCCCCATAACTCATGACCTGGTGCCTCTTGCTGCCACCCCTTGTTTTGTTTAAAGCCAGCAGTTCCCCAGGGCTGGTGACCCTCCAAGTGAGCTGAGCTTGAATTCATAGAAAGCAGTTTTACACCTCGCTTGGCCTTGCCCAGTCGGGGAAGGTTAATAAATCACATACCTCATTCCTATGCTCGGGTGTGCTTGGTGTCCATGCCCAAATAAACCAGACCAGGCAGGAAGGACACAAAGATTGTCTCTGAGTGATGTTTGGGACTCTGCTTGCACAGCAGGAGCGTTGTGGTAGATCTGCTTGACCTGGGGGTGATGGGACCGAAACCGATCCTCACCTTAGGGAAACTAATGCAAAGCTGCACAGTTTGCTTTCCCATCAAAACTTTTGGCCCTGAACCATGATTCCCATGAAGGATGTCAGCTGAAACAGGACATACAGTAGCTGAAGCACCAAAGGTAGGTGTCCAAGGTGTCACTGGATCACCTTCTCCCATGATGTGTCCCTTAACCCTGCCTTCGTTGGCTGGAAGGATGCCTGGTGTCAGCCCAAGCAGGGTCCTGGGTAAGTGTCCTGGCATCTCCCTGCAGCATTGAACCTGGGTGGGCACTATCCCTTTCCCCAGGAGCCTAACCCTGCTCTCTTCCTATCCTAGCAAAGAGGTGGGGGGGGGTCCCTGCCTTCATCTGGAGCTGCCCCAAGGGCCACCCGGTGCGCTTGAACGCTCAAGCCCCTGTCAGCTAATCAAACAGGATTAAACTCACACTCTTCTAATCGGATTTGAGCTCTGTCTGGCACATAGCACAGCGTCACCAAACTGGGTGACAGAGGTGGCACCCCAGGGTTGTTTTCTTCTTAAGACAGCAGGACCCCAAGGGGCAGTTCCTGCTTTTTTCTCTGGGCTTTACATCGTGAATCCGGGAAAGATGCGATGCTGATGGGTGCCGGATGCCCTGTGTGTGTCCGGCTGAAGTGATGTCCCAAGGCAGAGGCTGCACTTTTCCCTTGCAGCCCATCCCATCTCCAGGCTCGGGGGCTTTGGAGGCAGCCTTGGTAATCTCTAACATCTTTGGCAGCTCTGGGCCATGGGTGGAGCTGGATTTCAGCATCTGTTTACACAGCCCTGCCCGAGGCTTCCTGGAGATGTCTTGGCAGGAGGGGACTTCACTGATTTGCTTGTTTTCTTTCCCTTCTTTGACATAAGCAGTATGCCCTGGGGGTGAACTGAGCTCCTCTTCTTCGTGGTGGCCTCACAGCTCTTCTCTAAACCCCCAACGTCAATAGCTCTGCCCCTGTGCATCTGCAGTCATCTCCACCCCATCCCTGAGCTGATGGTGAGGTGGTTCAGGGAGATGATGCTATTGCAAAAACAGCCCTTCATAGAAAACTGCCCCTGTGGGGAGTGGAAACTCAGGCCTGGGTCATGCTGTGGCTTTGCAAATGTGAGGGACACAGAGGAGACGATGGGGGTTGTGGTGGCACCCTGGGCTTGAATGAGCTGGTGGCCAGGGTGGCTCAGGATGGTGATGCCAAGTGCAATATCACCTGCAGCATCTAATCCGGAGCCACGTAGCGGGGTGCTCTGTTTGTTATAAATGAGTGATGCTTAATATCACTTATAATTTGCCATAAATCCATGGGTGAACTTGGTGGCAATGGAGGAATTCACAATTCCGGTGCCAAAACAGCCATGCACCAGCAAAGTTGGGGGAGCAGCAGACTGGCAAGCCAGGCAGAGACCTTCAGGCATGGCTGCTGAGAGCCTCAATTTTACTGTTTCCATCCTTATCCCAGGCTCCAACCCCTGTTGCCAGCTGGGGCTGCAGGAATTAGCTCCTGTACCTCCCTATTCCCAGGCAGGCACAGAAGGGAGTATCCCGGCGGCGATAAAACTCACGTTCAAAGTTGTATCCTCTGAAATGAAACCAAAACTCTTGTTGGGGCTGTTACGTTTTTCATCCTTTCTGCCTGTAATGGGAAAAACATGTCCCTGGTGGTCAGCATCAGAGGCTGCGTCTGCCTCGGGACCCCCACGGAGCCCTCGGCGCCGTACCCGGGCTGTGCTGACGTCCAGCAGCTCCTTGGCTGCTCCTTTCCTTAACCCTGCAGACTGCCTGGTCACCCAGTTACGGGGCTGCAGAGCTTGTGTGGAGGCTTCAGCCTGGTTTTCAGCTGCTTTTGGCGTTCATGCCTTCCCCTGCCTGCTGCAGGCAGCAATAGGGGGAGTTGGAGGTGTCCTATGAGTGTATCCTTCCTCCAGCGTCATTGTGAGAGGGCTTTGGGGCAGCTGGAGGGGGGAAATGAGTGTGCCCTGAGCGAAGAGGGTTGGGGATGATTGAGAGGACTTAGGGGTGCTGGTTGATGAGAAGCTCAGCATGACCCGGCTTCAGTGTGCTGTAGAGTGGAGAGATGCTGCGAGGGCTGGAGCAGCTCTGCTCTGGAGCCAGGCTGGGGGG